CGGTGAAGTTGTACTGATTACTAACTGTGCCACCCAGCAGGGCCATTCGCACGGAGACGGGGGTCCGGGACCTGCATGGCCAACACGGTGACAAGGTCCCCTGCCCCGCAACGACGTCATCATCCGAAGCACCAGGGTCACCAAAACAAACCTCATCTCACTCCTCAACCTTTCAAACAGGCCTCTCCAATTATTTGAACCCGCTGACAGAAATTGCACTAAGATCTTTTTAAACAATCCCCAAAGCATACAAACGTCAACATTTCAACCGACACAGTAAAAATAAAAAAAAACTCTTGAAAATGGCCGGAGTAGTAGCAGGTGCCATCGCCGCCGAGCAAATCATCGCGACGGGCCTCGAAGCCGCCGCCGCCGTGGTCATAGCGGCCCCCACGCAGCCGCTCAAGGTTTCGCTCGTCCAGCTCCCCAAGCCCGAGGGGGACTCGGCCTCGCTCGCCCGCTCCCACCACTCCCTGACGGTAATCAACAACAAGGCCTACGTGTTCGGCGGCCAACACTCGTCGTCCGAGTCCACGGATTCCAACCACAACCAACTTGTACTCTGCGATCCGGTAATCCACACGCTGTCCCTGCCCGGCCCCAAAACCCACATCAACCCTTCGCCTGAAACCCAGACCTCCCATACCAGCTTTCCCCCGTTGCCCGTTCAGGACGCCTCGACCGGCCAGCCATTCCGCCCGACCGCGAGAGCCGAGCACGCCGCCTGCAGCTGGGGCAACCGGGTGGTGATCCACGGCGGCAGGGACGGACCCTCAGCGCCCATCGCCTCGGACGAGAACTGCCTCTGGGTGTGGGACGTCGACTCACTCAGCTGGTCCAGGCTCCGGGGCGACACGCAACTGCACAAGTCGATGGCGCCGCGGTACGGGCACTACCTCTTCTCGGACGAGAAGCAAAACTTTTTGCTGCTGGTCGGCGGGCGCGCGGACGCCGCCAAGGGCGCCGGCGTCAGCAGGGAAGTCTGGTTCTACGATCTCAACCAGCAGGTCTGGTCGGCGCTGCCGGACGCTCCCGCCGAACCTCTGGCGGCCGCCTACACGGGGCACACGCTCTACCTGCTGACCGAGGAGCAAGGGGTGCAGTATCTGGATGTCAGGGCGACCGCGGAGGAGAGGGAGAAGCCGCTGGAGTGGCTGAGGCTGGACGAGGAGCCCGCGCCCGCGCCGAGACCGACGCCCAGGGAAGGTGGCGCGCTGGTCCCGTTGGGTACCGGGTACGGGAGGGAGTATTTGATTTACCTGTTCGGCGGCGGGGCAGGGGCAGGCGAAAAAAAATGGTACGGGGACATCTGGGCGTTGCAGCTGCCCAGCAGGGAGCTGAGCGGCGCCATGATCAAGGACAAGATCAGGGACAAGGTTCTGCCCAAGAAGGTCAAGAGCGGCGAGGGGACCTGGGCCGAGGTTGAGGTCCTGCCCATGCAGCAGAGCGAGAGCGAGGCCGGAAAGGTGCACCCCGGGCCCAGGGCGAGGTTCGGAGCCGGCGCGGTTGAAAAGGGCGTGGTGGTTTGGGGAGGCGTCAACGCCAAAGGGGACGTCGAGGGTGACGGGTGGGTTATCAGGGTGGCGAGCGGCGTTGCTGATGAGGATCGGTTGGAGTGAGAGAGACAAAAAGTTTGAAAGCCTGGGTTCTTTTTTTTTTTTTTTTTTTTTTTTTTTTTTTTTTTTTTTAACTGTATCTGTCACTTGAGGTTGTTTTTTGCAATGACAATACTTTAGCATCCGTTGCTAGGTAGATTATGAATTCTTTCGGAATGGATGGTTTTGTTCTTCTTTGGCCTTGTTGCATTTTGCGACTTCCAACCATATCCCATATGGATTGGGAACCTGAACCTAGTGAGCTTGGCGGCAAGAGCACAATAAAGTGTCTCAACGGATGTGAGAAAGTAATAACTAAAGCAAGGAAACCCCCAGGGAGAACCACCAAAACCCTTTTATCTAGTACCGATCCCTGTTTGAGTTTGTCATGCCTCTAAGGAAATGTCATTAAAACCAGCATATCCCTTAGCTAAGGCCGGATGAAGTAAAGGGGACACTTGGGGAGAGGTGTCCGGTTATTGCGGGGGCCATGCACATTTGATCAACAATGATCGTCGCGGGTGGTCATCCACCAACACGGAAAGAGTGAAGTATCGATGATTGAGCTACGGAGTAGACCAAGGAAGAGAACTACACGATATGGTCCTGAACACCTAAGGTAGGTTGGTAAGAACCCACATTGACATCGAATTTTTCCTTTGCATGCATAACCGCCTAACTATCTCCTACCTGGCATTTCTTGGACCGTCTGCGGTTGAGTTACAGCCTCAATGTAAACCTTCAGAATGACCTCGTACTTCGGGGCGGGCGAGCCGCCCGTGGCATACATGAAACGAGCGAGGTCGCCAACCGGATATAGGCGGCCGCCAAGCTTGTAGAGAGGAATATTTGAGACTAAAAGATTTGAGTACCATACATTAGTGGCGGGGTTCTAGAGAAAGGGAGAGAATAGGGAAAAAAAAAAAAAAAAAAAAAAAAAAGGAGGGGGGGCGGGGGGCTTACGGGCTCCAGTGTTAGAAATCCATTGCCAGCTGAGTTCTCCGGTCTCCAAGTTGACGATCCAGATATCCGACTCGTAGGCGTAATGCTGGTTGGTGACCATAGTCATAGGCACAGAGCCGGGCGGCGTGGGCGTAACCCAGGCCAACGTTCCACTGTCATTTTCAGTCAGTCAACAAACCACCAAACAGCTGACGAGAGTGAATGAAAACAAACGTACTATCCTGCTTCAAGCTGTTCAATATTCCGGACATTGCTGTCTTTCAGGAAACCCAAAGCGCCACCGGGGCCCGTAACACGCAGCTGGGAGCCCGTGGTCTCGTCGGCGGGCAGGCTGAACTCAAAGTCAAGGGCCCGGGACTTGGCGTTCCTGTCTCCAAAGTTCATGTCCTCGGCGACGGCGACCCCATTGCTGTCGTACAGCCATCCATCCAACGCTCCGGTGTCCTTGCGAAGGACCTGGATCTTGCGCTGGTAGGTGACTGGCGCAGGTGCAGCGGTCGCGGTGGCCACGGCGGTGGTGTGGAGGGTGGTGGTCTCAACCTCGGTGACGGTGACGGCGTCGGAGGTGACGGTGACCTGCTCAGCTGTCGAGGTCACGGTAACGACCGAAGGGGCCAAGCTGAGGCAGGAGCAGGCTTTGGAAACGTAACCGGCGCCGTAGCTAACAGGGAGCCAGGTTGGATAGGCATCGTCGCGCTTTTCGTAAATGACACTGCTGATGATGACGCCGGCGGTCGTAGCCGGGGCGTCGCCGGCAGGTACGGTGACGGTGATGGTCTCGTCGACCTCGGTGACCACGTCGGTGACGCGGGCCGTCTCCGTCACGGTCGCTACCACGGTGGGTGTGACGGTTACATCAGTCGTGGAAGCCTCGAGCCCAAGCAGGCCACGGCAAAAGTCCGAGGCGGCGTCCTCGGAACGGAGCAGGTTGAGGAGCGGGTCATCGGCAGGGCAGGTCCGGACGCATCTGGCAGCGGCGCCCGAGATTAGAGCAGCGGCTTGCAGGAGGAAAGCGGCGTTGGCTTTTCCCAACATGTTGAAAAGAGTGACACTAATAAAAACAAACACAAAAAAACGAGTGACTTGGATTGGAGTATCCCTATTGATGTCAGGCCGGGGGAAGAAGGAGAGGAGACGGGAACAGGAAGGAGAAGTATTAAAAGAGAACTGGATTGCAGAACCCATCGACCCACTCACTAGCGAAGGTCTAGACTCCCAAAACCTGCGGTTTGGTTCCGAGAGCTTGTGTAGTAATTTCCGCAGTTCTCAATAGTATCACCATTTCAGCCTAGCGCCTCATCTCTTGGCTCTCAGGCTTAGCTACTCTTGGCTCACAAGATGGGGACATAAAGGGATTGACATGGGTGAGAGCTGAGCAAGACGCGAAAATTACCGTCATGAACGTTATTTACGCCCTCTTCTTCTGCGAGTTTGTTACAGAAAATACCGTAACCCCTTTTCATGGGGTTTCATTCGCCCCAACGCTAACAAAAAAAAAAGTGGACCAACGACGCCTGCGGTCAGGATTATGTATAGCGCTCTTGACCAAGTGAATATATAGATTGGTGCTGTCAGTTAAGTATGATCTCTTTGTTGTCTCAAACAGAACACCTGCTATAGTAAGGCGACAATCTAGACGGGATGGCAAAGGAGACGTGTCCTGAGGGGAAAATCTGTTTTATCAATCGTACTTTGGGCAGTACAATTAGGTAGGTACCTACGACTTTGTTGCCGCTGAGGCTTGGGGAACAAATGGATATGGTGAGACTCGGTTGGAGTTGAAGATTATAAGGAACTAATCGGGGGAGAGAGCCTGAGCAAGAGGAGGGAGGGCCGGAGGGGAGCCGGAGGGGGGAGTCTTCTGAGACTCTGAATGATAAACTTTCATGATTATACATCAATTGATCAGCAAAGGTAGAAAGCGTGGGGAAACTTCTTATTGCTGCATCTTTGAAAGCCAAGGCAAGAGATCTGTCCTAGCTAAGTTCCAATGTTCATATACAAACTTGAAATGTATCTAACTTCTCGTCCGAACTTTACTTTTCCTGAGGGAATATTTTGTCAATCAAGGGACAGGATAATTAGATGATATTACTAAGGTGGGTGGATGATACAGATTTATCGATCATAATGCTGGGAGTCCCTTAACGCAGCCTACAAATCCTTAATTATCAACTTCGATATTGCTAGTCTCCAGCAACTCACGCCGTCAGCCACAATAAAATCCCCAAAATTGGGATAGCTATTCAACAGCATCATTGTTAGGTGTCCCCGTCTCCCCTTCATCCCCAGGCCGCCTCCGCAAGCCCCACCACAACCATGCCCATCTCAAGCCACAACCACACTACAAGTAAGGCGAAGATAAGGCCAACAAGACGAAGCACACACGCAGGATATAGTTTACTTTTGCTCTATTGTATTTAAAAAGCAATTCAATCTGCAGGCCCCGTAGCGTAGTGGTCAGCGCACCAAACCAGCGTTGTTTTCTTAGCGATTTGTTTCCTGAACAGCGTACGAGCGGAGGGGTCAGTTCGAATCTGACCGGGGCCAGATTATGTTTTTTTTTCTTTCTTTTCTCCGGTTTCCCCTCTTGTTACATTCTTATTCTCGCCTATATCATCAATTCTTTACATTCTGTGGTTCTCAACAACCTCTCATCCTCTGGGCACCTTTAATTACAAGAGACCAAGAGCGTCCTAATATAAGTCAAATGTCTATGCTGCGTCGTTGAAACCCCTTGAATCACATTCGTGAGCTCACTGATTTCTGCAGATGTTGTTTTAAGTTGGAATACCATGGGTAAGAGTATGGCGGAAGAACTGATTGTGGTTTTGTCTTGGCTATCTGCTGGCATCACCTGGAGGCTCAAATAAGCATACCAATATCCCACAACTTATCAAAAAACCACACCTGTGCAGCTCACCGTCACCTCCCGTCAGCAGTTTGCGGCACAACATTGGGTTTTCGTTGCGCACAGCACCATCACAAGCAGGTGCAGTCGGTCGCTGCCAGGTTGCCAGAGCTGGACGGCCACAGAAATTCCAGACAGAAGTGGGTCCCGTCGTCCATGTGAAGTGAGTGGGCCATCCACCACCCCTGCCACTCAACTGCAGCAACCCAAATCCTTTCCGCTCTACTTCTTGTTGGTTCGGCGTTTGCTACTTGGCTAAGCTTGAGTCTGCTGCAAAAAGACTCGTAAAAGCCTCCTCAACTTCCGCCGTCCGACCCCGCTCCGGTCCTATTTTTTTTCCTTTGATTCCCATCACACTGTTGTCATTATAGGGACACATATTCGAGGTCTCATGCTCAAATACCGGTAGCCACAGGGCTGGAAATGCGCAGGGATCAACCCGCTACTAAAACAGCGGGGTTAGCGCCGAAAACTGCCCCGCGCGCTCGTTCGAATTTATTCAGATCGCGACGTCACTTCATCTCCACAGCACCACCAGATCCCCCAATGCCAACATGTTAGTGCACACACAGACAGTCGAGCCCCTCAATATACGTGCATGCATGGCATACTGACATTTGATCGCTTGAACTCGCAGGATCGACCCCTCCATCCGACTCCGACGAGCAGTCCGCTCCAACGATGCCCTCCTCGTCAAGCGAATCCTCAAATCCCACCCCCACCTCATTCACAACCCGGACCACGGAATAAAAGGGCTCGCCAACTCCAGCCTCCACCTCGCCGCCTCCCTGGGCCACCTCGCAATCTGCAGGCTGCTTGTCGAGCTGGGCCACGAAGAAGACGGGCCCTCGCTCAACGATGAGCACCAAACCCCTCTGATGCTCGCCGCCGCGGCGGGGCACACCGAAGTCGTCCACTTCCTGTGCGAGTACGACCCGCCCGCCATACTCCGGCAGGATGTCAGAGGCCGCGACGCAATAATGGAGGCCAGCCTGAACGGGCACGACACGTGCGTGCAGTTGCTCTTGACGTATGCGCCCGACGGGGCGCAAGCGGCGCTAGAGAATTGTGACTTGGACGGGAACACGGCGCTGCATTTTGCCAGCAGCAACGGGAACCTTTTGGTTCTCAGGACGCTCTTGGCGGCGGGCGCGGACGCTGGTAGGAGAAACATCTGGAGTTGGACGGCAGAGGCTTACAGCGCCACTGTGCAGGCAGAGGCTTATCTGAAGGGACTGGTCGCTGACGTTGAGAGGCGGAGGCAGAATGCTAGCATTAGGACGAAGCTTGAGCAAGTAGATGATGCACCTCCAAAGAAGGGCATCGGAATTGGCATTGGCATTGGCATTGGGCGTGGCGGGCTGAGACTGGTTAGGGATGAGGTGGGTGATTGAGGGGGCGGGAGGAAATGGGTGAGTCAAGACTACCTTGGGATGGGAATTGCTAATTGGATCATGGGCAGTAAAAAAAAAAAAAAAAAAAAAAAAAAAAAAAAAAAAAAGTCAAGATTTCCGTTGGTAGAGTTTCTGGGAACATTTAAGCAATGTCTTTGAACGGAATACATGCTGCATTATTCGCTCTCCTCTCCACCCGTTGAGACACCTCAGGAAAACGCTCTCTCTATCTCTCTCGGCCATGGTAGCCGCCCGAAATCTTGCCATCATCACATCATTTGTCTCTCCTCATTGACTATAGAAAAGGCACATATAATTACAGAGTGGGCGACGGCCCTCGAGGAAGATGGTGCTCAGACGAGACCGACACCTCGACGGTTTTGTGGATCCCAATTCCTTCCAACTTGGCCTCGGAGAAGCCGTCTTTATGGGATGTCACGAGCGGAATCGCGTCAAAGCTCGGTCGTAAGTTCAGAGCGGACTGACCTTCAACATCCGAGTCAAGCTTATGGCCCTTGATATTGTCCCATCCCCCACGGCCTCCCTGCGAGACTATTTCTTGCTCATACAGGGTACCTGACAATTGCGTGGTACCGCGACTTCGGCTGTAGGATGTAATTTTGCCGTGGCAAATTCGGAATAGGGGCCCGAGCGAGGGGAGGGAGGCGCAGATCATGAGAATTGTACCCTCTGCCATGCCGAGGATGTCGAGAAATGGAACGGGATCTGCGCAAAAATAGGGTTAGTGATTAAAAAAAAAAAAAAAAAAAAAAAAAAAGAAAGGAAGCAATGGAAAGGAAAGGAAGGAAAAGGGGTATATATATAGAGAGAGAAACTCACAGGTAGGGTCGACAGCCAAGATTTCAAACACCTGACCAAATATGCACAGCTTGTAGATTGATACTGCGCAGGCCAACACGCTGAGGCCCAAAGCCACCGAAACAGCGATCCGCGACTTGAGCGGCATGTTCAACCGCATGATGAAGGGGATCGGGTACAAGGCAAAGAAGGTGTCGAGGAAGGCCGAGTAAGCCGAAGTAAAGTATCCCAGGTTGGCCATGACGCTGACGGGCGCGCAGGTACCCTCGACAGACGGATTCCAGCCCTTCTCGATGGGATCACACTGCTTGAACCACCAGACCGACGTCACCAAGATGCATGCCTGGGAAGAAAGAGCGAGTACCCAGAACATGATTTTTGTTTTGATTCCCGGCATCAGGATGCGCTGAATTGTCAAGATGATGGCGAACTTTGGAAGAGAAAAGGTCCAGATGAGAATGGAGCTGATGATGGCGTTGAACTTCATCGCCTCGGCCACTTCCTGCGGGAGGAGGTCCTTGGCGTGCTTCCCCAAGCCGTGCTGGGACCCGATGGTGATGAGGATGCATGTCACCAAGAAGACGGCAAGACAGAAAAAAGTGATCAGGTCGTCCATTCCGAGGCCTCCCCCCTTGGCGGCCCCATAGTGCGCTCTGCAATAGGCGCGCAATCCGACGACAACTGACAGAGCTATGTTAGTATCTATTCATCGAGAAAGAAAGAAAGAAAAAATAGAACGGCCTTGATGAAAATGCCGTACCGGATGTTGAGGCAAACATTGCCCAGCAGGCCCTATCAGCGACGACGCTGAGGTCTTCATACTGCCAGAACGCCATGGCCGTTCCGAATCATCAGGTTCAAAGCTGCGCCGGGAAGGAGAATAACTTGGCCCCGAAATCCAAAATAAAACATCAGGGAACGGCGAGAGGAATATGTAATGGGATTTAATTCTGGGGTTTGCTCCCACCGAGATCGATCGAGACTCACCAAGTGCCAAGGCCCAGGCATTTTACCAAAGCTTCCATACGTTACAGCTGCGGACCGCGGATTCAATGCCGAGAGCACAGTCACTCATCTCGCGGGCACATCCGGTTGTTATCTGAGCTTAGCGACAAATCTTCTTTTCTTTTTTCTATCTTTCTTTCTTTTTTCTCTTTCCGGAGTGCCAATTCCGCTCAATTACCGATCCCACGCAATGTGAATTGTCCAGCCCCGGTAACACTTACATAAACTGCCAACCCAAGTCTGGAAGTGATCAACACCGTGACCCCCATGTCATCCTTGGTCTGTTTTAAACTCGCCCATCAAGGCTCCATGATTCACCCCTAAGGCCTTCTCTCTTTGCTTGTGATAATTGCTAACGAGGTTTGCGCACAGGTGGAGCTATCAATAACTTAAAAAAAAAAAAAAAAAAAACCTGAGGGGATCCGCTGGCTCATGAAAGTTCGAACAATTTGTTGTTGTTGGAAAGTTTTTTATTCACATTGATCAGTATGTCTTTTGAGGACTTTGGACTCTACCAATCATACGATCAAACCGTCGTGCTGTCAGGGCCCGGGGAAGACGGACAAAAAAATCAAGGGCTCCGTTCTGAACTAACTCCAAGAAGTTTTAGTGCATCAGCACTATTTTCATGGCATTGCATCGTGGCTACGCCTTAATCCCAGTCATTCAGCGAAAGAGTTCGAGGGCAAGGGTACCGGATATCCCTTCCGCACCAGTCCCAATGCTCGTCCGGGCAATACCAAGATGTTAGGGATAGTACTACATGCAATCCACGGTTTGTGGGGGTTTGATCCGATACGGCTCACCCAACCCCCCTTTCTCTCTCTTTCTCTCTCTTCCTCTTGCTCAGGTCCCATTTTATGTAATCCTAAAATCCTACTCATAAACTTCAGGTTTCACTGCTCACAGTGTTTCACCCAGAATTGCGCCCTCGAAGGAATATTTTCAGGGGTGATTATTCGCCAAGCTTCTACGCGCTGCGGCTTTATATTACCTACGGTAGCCAAAGCCTCGTGAGACAAATCCAAAATGGCCTCAGCGGACGCCCTCATCTCGTCACTCAGGGGCATCTCAGCCACCGCATTCTCCTCCGAATCGGAACGCATCCGAGCTCGTGATGCCCTCCTCTCGGCCCTTCGAGCCGTCCAGTCCCCCTGGGACCTCGCCTGGGAACACAACTGGGCGAACCCGGCCATCAACGCAGCCATCTCGGCCCTCATCCACGCGGGCGTCTTCACCCACTGGGCTGCCGAAGCTTCCCGGCTATCGGACGATGCTTGCCCCATCACCCCGGCCCGGCTCGCCGCGCTGACCGGAGCCGACGAGCTCCTCCTCCGCCGCCTGCTCCGCGCCGTATCCGGCCAGCACCTCATCACCGAGGTGGGTCTGGACACGTACGCCCGCACGGCGTGGGCCAAAAC